TTCAATGAGTTTTAATGTTTCTTCTTGAAGCAAATTACATTACCTTGAGCCAGTAACAACCAGAAATATGAGGTCAAATAATCTGTACTGAAGTAAAAATAATTTAGCCCTTCTATTACATTATCTTGTTGTATAAGGTTATTATTGTACAGCAGAACTTTATTTGTATTTTCGATCAATACGAGTGACAATAATTCCAGCAGAATCATGTGAACTGTTTGGCAGATCACATTAACTTACCATTACAGATTATTTTCAGCTACCAAAATCAGTTTACCGCTTTTGATGCCTTTAAAAGAACATTAGTTCACTGTGAAGGCTACCTATAACATATGCAATACTTTGACTCCTTAAGAGTGAAATTTGATTCAGCTTGACAATTCCACATCAACATATACCTAGCTCTCACAACTGAAACAGCAAGAACGTGGGGAGCCTCAACAGTGATTGGCAAAATGTTGGCTGTGTAGACTAGAGGATGGGAAGTATCACTGCCAACTACACTTGTGGTTGTATCATTATTTATGACATACAGTAAAAGCTGCAGAATATCACTGTTATATAATATAGATTCTTGAAAAAGTAGGGAATACTGGGATTAAAATGTCTAAAACTGTGAGCAATTATAATAGAAGTATACACAACCATCTTTAACATCGACGCCTTCAAGACAACACTACTGGATCGGGCAAGAACTGAAATTTCCCGCGTCCCAACCATTTAATGAATGAATATTTGAGCTTTGTTGTTTCTTATGATTCATCCCTCCTGTGGTCAATAATGGACCAGTATAGCAATAATCCACCCTAATCCCATAAAACCAGTGAGGCATGACGTTCTTTACCTACCTAGTTGAATAATTTTAGGCCATGTTGGCTGACACCGTTTTTAGTACTAGAAGTACATGTATAATTGTAGTGAATGAGTTGGCATTACCACTGACAGTGAAGTGTAACACTAGATATTATGACTGTCAGCACTCTTAAAAGATGATAATATTGGTTAGGAATGAAAATTTCAGTGTTGACATTTATTTATCAGTAGCCCTATAAACCAGCACATTTGGCATCCTGTGATGCGTGCCTCAATGGCTGTTTGTGTGAATATGTTCCTCTTGCAGCACCTTGCCAAGTTCAGACAAAACACTCAGCAGCCGTTGACAGTCACTTAGTCTCCCTGTTATGACCATGACTTCTTTTTGTCATATTATGGGATTTGTTCACCTGGATCACTGGTAGATATGGAAGAAACGTGTGCACATGATTGGTATTGCTTGCTTAGTTTGTGAAAACTACACATTGTAATCTTAATCTTTGCATTTTGAACAAGGATAAGCAGAACCAGAAATATATTTCAAATGGTAAATCTATGTGTCAGTAATATTTTACCACAACATACACATTTCTATTGACCAAGTTTGTTGCCTCATGTTTGCTGAAATAGATTTTTACTGCTATAATCCTTTGAAATTCAATTTTTCTGCAAAATACTTCATTTACTATTCATACCTAGCATTGCTTTTCATGAAAGTGGAATTAACTAGGTACTCATCAGAGCATACATGGGTTTATTGTACAACCCACAAGCTGTTGAGAGTATGGTGCAGCTATAAGTTATAAGTATGGCAAACCATGTGCATGTTTTGTGTGTCATGGAGACAGACTTGAAAACTATTTGAGACATATTTTATGTCAAAAAGTAATAATAAAATACTATCAAGCATGTAGGTGCATTTCATTTACAAATAATAGTCAGCCTAAAATCTATACATTTTGGTCATCTTTTGACACTTTGCTGACTGATGTACAATTATATAACATATAAGCCATAATACACTACCCATTAAACGTTTAGACTCACTTAAAGCACTCACTATATGTTATGTATATATATATATGGTTACATCGAAGATGAATTTCTCCACTAACTTGGGGAAACCAACTGCAAACCTTATGCAGATGAACTGCACGAGGATCATGCTTCAAATTGCTGAAAAACATGGAAATATCATGCATGTGAACAGCTGCGTTTTGGTGTAAAGTTTTATTGAGAATTCGTCAATTTTCACTGAGTTTCGTCATTTACTGAACGTCATGACAATAATCTTTGCAATGTTACAGATTTGATTTAGAATACATCAGTTCATGTGAAATATATAGCAAAATCTAGTTTAGAACAGTTGACTGAAGTAAGTGGCTACATTTACACTAGTGAGTCTAAACTTTTGATGGGTAGCATAATTGAATTGTATACATCAGAGCACATGTAATGAGAATATATAGAATACCATGCAAGCTATTGTATGATCTATGAACTGACTCATGGTATATATGTTTTATATGAACATGCATGACATAATGTGTATGAACATCTGGGAAATAAAAAAGATTTTTAAACATAATGTATGTTATAGCAAAATGGAGTTTTCAGCCACAACATTATGATAAATATGTCTTGATTAAGGTTTCTTTTTTTGTACTGTGTTGATTCATAAAGTCAGCAAATCTGTACATCAGTTGACCTTAAACTGGCCTAATGGAAACAAATACTGACATTCGTAAGAACATGTCTTTGAATATGATCATAGAAAAGTATCATCAAAACTTGTGTTGTATAGTTTTGAAGTAAGCACAGCTAGTGTTAATGTTTTACATCAACCTGTTTTTCATAAAGGTGAGCTGTACATACCTGCTGTGATGTGGTTGACATGTTCATGATGACTGACACAGACAAAATACATGCGTATAGATAGATGAACTGGCAGTAATGACGGTCGAGTGAATATATATAATAATTGAAGTATTATATATTTAATCTCATTGTATGGATCACAGGTAACATCCGGAGAATCCATTATCCATTTTGATAAACGTATTCAATTTCTGAATTCAATACATGTATGCTCCTTTTCTGATTTCAAGGTTTTCATTTTAAAACTGTATATTTCAAAGCATTACTACTGCCCCACATCAGTACCTGCTTGTGATCTATGTTTGGCCATGCTGTAGTACTGGCTGATTTCTCACCTTCACTCACCTTTTGTAGCATTGTTTGGTTACCATCAGTTGAGCTATTAAAGGAGAATGCTGTGTGTTTGCAATTTGACATAACTCAGCCTTTAACCTCACTGTTTGCTGTGACTTAAGCAGTTGTGTGGATTTGACAAAATTTTAACAAATGAATGGAAATGTTTTCATGCTGTATCACATTTAGTTTTCCAATCCAAGTGAATGGATCAGTAACTAAAGATGCATTTAAAGAATCTGAAGAAGCTTTATTGAAGGCTCAACAGCTGTTAGCAGTTGTATCTGTCAAAAGGCAACACTATTGTGTATCACAATACAACATACAGCTGACCAGCTCTGGTGGATCACAATACAACATACAGCTGACCAGCTCTGGTGGATCACAATACAACATACAGCTGATCAGCTCTGGTGTATCACAATACAGCTGATCAGCTCTGGTGTATCACAATACAGCTGATCAGCTCTGGTGTATCACAATACAGCTGATCAGCTCTGGTGTATCACAATACAGCTGATCAGCTCTGGTGTATCACAATACAACATAGTGAATCAGCTCTGGTGTATCACAATACAGCTGATCAGCTCTGGTGTATCACAATACAACACTTAGCTGACCGGCTCTGATGTATCAGAATGCAGCTGATCAGCTCTGGTGTAACACAATACAGCTGATCAGCTCTGGTGTATCACAATACAGCTGATCAGCTCTGGTGTATCACAATACAGCTGATCAGCTCTGGTGTATCACAATACAGCTGATCAGCTCTGGTGTATCACAACACTCAGCTGACCAGCTCTGGTGTATCACAATACAACACTCAGCTGATCAGCTCTGATGTATCACAATACAGCTGATCAGCCCTGGTGTATCACAATACAGCTGATCAGCTCTGGTGTATCACAATACAGCTGATCAGCTCTGGTGTATCACAATACAGCTGACCAGCTCTGGTGTATCACAATACAGCTGACCAGCTCTGGTGTATCACAATACAGCTGATCAGCTCTGGTGTATCACAATACAGCTGATCAGCTCTGGTGTATCACAATACAGCTGATCAGCTCTGGTGTATCACAATACAACATAGTGGATCAGCTCTGGTGTATCACAATACAGCTGATCAGCTCTGGTGTATCACAATACAACACTCAGCTGATCAGCTCTGGTGTATCACAATACAACATAGTGGATCAGCTCTGGTGTATCACAATACAGCTGATCAGCTCTGGTGTATCACAATACAACACTCAGCTGATCAGCTCTGGTGTATCACAATACAGCTGATCAGCTCTGGTGTATCACAATACAGCTGATCAGCTCTGGTGTATCACAATACAGCTGACCAGCTCTGGTGTATCACAATACAGCTGACCAGCTCTGGTGTATCACAATACAGCTGATCAGCTCTGGTGTATCACAATACAGCTGATCAGCTCTGGTGTATCACAATACAACACAACACTTTGTTATGTCGGATCAATGTTTCGACCAACTTATTTATCAAACAAAAGTGTATTGTGTTTCAATGTTCTGTGTCCCACCATTAATAGGATGCACAGGATCACCTGGATTAGTATGATCCCCCAGAAGTTGTTGATAAATCAACATTATCAGCTGCTGGCATAGGGTTGTTGCAGTCAGAGAAAACAAGAGAGAAAGTAGGCACTCAGTACAGAGTGAATATCAGCATGTTATTTTCCTGCTTCTTTTGTTGAAATGTTTATAATGGGAAGGCCTCAGCATGATATTGTTCCCTGGTTTGCTAATTATCTTTCATGGAATTAATCATATGTTTGGAAAGAAACTTGTTTATATTTGTTTATAATTTGTTAAAATTATATTTTTAAATTGTCGTGATTAGTTATTACTCAAGACATTTTTCAATGCTCAGCAAAATGGAAGCTGCATTTCTCATTTGTAACTGACAGACCACTTGGAATTAATAAAATAAAAATCCAAACATATCCTACCTTAATAAGATCCTTTAAGACTGACAGTGTTGAAGCAGTCTGAATCAGTTTAATGAACAAAGTCCCCAGTTTGCATCACCTGTCATCTAAACGTTATGCTCTCCGTGCAGTACACACTCAATGACACATTTGTGTTTCCTTCGGACCTTGTGTCACAACAGTCCCTCCGGCCTCACACCACACAAATGTCATGATACAAAGTACCTAACTGTTTTTACCACATCTCCAGCTGCTTGCTAACAGAAGTGTAACAGGTCCTTGTCAGCACATAAACAGGAACCCGATCAACTCTGACGATCAGTCTTGTAGCCTGGCGCCGACAGTCCACTTTAAGAAGTGAGCTACAGTTGGTAGAGACTTAGTGTCCAGGCAGCAGATGGGTTGAGTATAAGGTAGTATATAACTGAGGGGGATGAGATCAATATAGCACAGAGGATGTCTCACAGTGCTGCTGGATGTATTCAGGTGTTGGAGGTGGCTAACTTGTAGCCACTCCTGTAGCCAATCCTGTTGGGATATAACAGTGTCTTTTGTCTGGCATCACATGCTGGGAGTTGCTCATATAATGTGGATCCACACCGTTACATCAGTACTCTGGACTCAGGTATTGGATCTCTTGAAGCATTGTCATTTAGAACAAGTAGTGAACTGTCATGATGAAACTATCTGATTGGGGAAATGGTAGATGACATTGTGAACAATAAAGATTAATCTTCTTAGAGTCTCAAAGAAACAACTGGGTCTAGCAATTAAACATATTTCTATGATATGTTTGAACACAAGAGCATTCATATTTCTCCACACCCCGATAATAACCAAAATATTGGAAATTCGGGAGTTGAGTCGAAAAGGTGTCTGAAAAGTCCAGAGACCTGGCATAGAAGGGTGACGTTATGGACTTGTTGTCCAGGATACTGAATCACACATTGAGTTGTTTTTGTCAACTTTGCAGCTTTTGAAAACTGTGGAGATGATAATAGCTGAAGTAATTTCAGGCATCATCATCCCCACACAACCTGGTTACCATGGAAACCAGTCAAAATGGTAAAAGGTCCCCTTTGTATCAGATTTAATCAGTCTCTTAATGAGGGTAGTGCACAGTAATACTAATGAGATATCATTTTCATCTGCTTCTTTACAGTCTTCAGCCAAACATGTCATTTATGAAGAAATAGCAACAATAAGGTTCTTTCTTTCACAGATTATAATATCACTTCAGATATGTAAGTGAAAATTATGGCCATTATGTGTAAGTACTATTAGCGGTATTCCGATTAATTGAAATAATCAAAGATTGGTCGCTGTGAAAAAAACAACCAAGCAATTGATCACATTTTCTCATTATCAAGCACAAACGATTTTGGAACTACTGTTTTAGTGTTTGAAACACTTTACGATGGAACATATCTTCAAAGTTGTCAGGGCCTGAAAAAGTGTTTATTTCTTAGAAAACTCACTTCACTTACTGAAAAGTCATGACTGAATACTTCTTGACGAATCTGGGAAGTTTATGTTCATAATATATTAGTCATCACGTTAAAGTAGCAAGCTGCATCATTATCCCCTGCAACGCGATTTTGCGGGGGGTATTAAAATGGACTGTCCGTGCGTGCGTCCGTCCGTGCACATTTGTCTTTTCCGGAGCAGAACTCTAACGCCGTTCAATATTTCTTCACCAAACTTGGCACATAGATAGATCTGGTGGTGTACTGGTGCCTTTTGGTAGTTTTGGAATTCTGAATAAAATATTTTTGGCGTTTCCATGGCAACAAGTTTGACTTAGCCTGAAATTGTGGTAGTACACTTTTCCGAGCTGAACTTTAAAACCGTTCAATATTTCTTCACCAAACTTGGCACATAGATAGATCTGGTGGTGTACTGGTGCCTTTTGGTAGTTTTGGAATTCTGAATAAAATTTTTGGGCATTTCCATGGCAACAAGTTTGACTTAGCCTGAAATTAGTGATAGTGCTCCTTTCTGGAGCAGAACTCTAAAACCGTTCAATACTCTCCTTCCACTTTTCTATATACACACCTAAATATTTGACATAATCATAACTCGTAGACATAATCATGAAGAGTATTTTGCCATTGAGGGGGATATTGATGACTTTGTCTTCTTGTTGATAATGAACCAATCATCAATTGTGAGATTTTAACCAATTCCAAGTACAACAGTTTCCAAAATCATGTACAACAGTTTCACACTGTTTAAGTATTTGATTAATTAATTATCACAATTTCACTGAAATATATGTTGTTACACAAATCTTGGAGATGTAGGAAAGATTGGTGGATTTGTATAGATTTGTATAACGTGGTAATGATCACATGATCTTAGTCACAGAGGTGATAGTAGAACAGAATCTTGTGTGAAAATTTACATTTTATACCTGTATGTATTAAATAACTGACTCTCTAACGTTGTGTACCTGTTTATATGTAGAACAAGCAGGGGATGATACTCCCTCATCAGATGGGACACAGACAGCCCTATGACTATGGTCCATTATCCATTTCTCATTAACCTTATACAGTGAAGCCTCGTTAATCCGGACGGCTGCGTTTCTCAGCAAATTCTTCCGGATTGCGAATAGTCCGGACTACTGAATCAAGACCCAAGTTCAAGCAAGAGTTGCTTCCCTTACTATTACAAAAACGACACGAATCTGGATAAAACAAATAAGCATTTAATGTAAAGCTTATAAAACTATGAATAGCAAGTACAACAATAATCTATAGTCATAGCAAAAAGTCTTTCATTGTTGTTGTTAACCTTCCTCATTGAATTCATCACATCAATAATTTTACCAAGTGGCATCCGCATGCTGATCCGACGTGTCTGATAACGTCCTTCCTCAGCACAGGTGAGGTAATGTCTAACAAGCGATCTATTGTAGTATGCCTTGATTGTCCGATTTATTCCTGCATCCATCGGTTGAATATGAGATGTGGTATTTGGTCACATTTCGCAAAGTTAGCGAAGCACACTTGTGACTTGCAGCGTTGTCGAGAAGCAAAATCATTTTAAGTCCACGTGACCACATCTGTCTGTCAAAGTACATTAACCAATCACAAAACAGCTCACTTGTCATCCACGCCTTTGTATTGTGGTGTCAATCAAAGTGTAAATGTACAGCATCTTCAGTCGGGAGCTTTTAATGTCTAATTAAAACAACAACCCTTAATAGACATTTCTCAAAAGTTAACAAGAGTTCATCTTGTCAACTCCATGACACCGAGATTTTATTGTTTATGGCCAGTTAAGTAAACATCGCCGGGGGGGGTGTTGTTATGGTTCATGAACACGACTTACAGCATCCGGACTGTGAAGCAATTTACTGTTTATTTTACTGATTGGTTACAGCTACTTACCGTCCGGTTCCGGAAACCGAATTTTCCGGATTATCGAGGCAAATTAAATAGGCATAGATTGGTAACAAGCTAAAATCGTCCGGGAGCCGAGACTTCCTGATTATCGGAGTCCGGACTAACGGGGCTTCACTGTATTCTCTTTAGCGAACTGCTAACCACTCAAAGACTCAGTTTTTTTTCTTGCTGGAAGCATTCAAATTATATTGGAATAAAAATGTTTCCAATCTGAGGTTTTTTAATGTCATCATCTGTAGTTTAATTAGTTTTCACGTGGGTTTTGAGGCTATAAAATCACCTTTGTTTTTCCTGCAAGACAATACCACAGTCATTTTTCGTGATTTGGAAACAAAAATTAGAAATCAAAGGTAAATATGAATAGTTCTCCGAATGGTGTTTATCATTGTTAGTTATGCTAGGATAAACATTAATAAGCATTTAATAGTCCACTTTTATGGCGCCATTCTAGGATGAATATCTTGCTCAAAGCGCTATTATAACCCCAGATAACCCAAATTGCCTGCAAGGCACTAGAAGGTTAATAGTCACATGATTTATCCCACCTGGTACCCATTTTCTAACATTAACTTACATAATTTGTATAAGGCAAGTTACTGTGGCTAAATTGTAAGGAATTCTTTGATATGTTTGTTTATATATTTTTCAATTATAATATCTTAGTTGTGTGTGTCATTCTGATTGCTGTCTTTGATGATGGTGTAAAATAATCTTTTATATGCAAGAATCTGCTTAACAAACTGGCACCAGTCTTTAGTTTGAGTCGACTGCCTCCGTGGTGTAGTGGTTAGAGCGTCCGCCCGGAGAGCGGAAGGTTGCGGGTTCGATCCCCGACCGCGTCAAACCAAAAGACGTTAAAATATGGTACTTGTTGGTCCCTGCCTGGCGCTCGGCATTAATGGGTACAACAAGGACTGGTTGGCTCGGAGTCAGTATAATGTGTCTGAGTGGGGTATTCATGCTTCACTGCAGCATGGTATCTCAGTGGGCTAGCACTATAAAACCAGCTTCAGTCTGGGCTAGTACAAGCAGCCGCACATACACATACACACGCATGCACGTCGTCATATGAGCGAAATATTCTCCAGCACGACGTAAAACCCAATTTCACCTCACCTCACCTTTAGTTTGAGTCACTTTGCTTTGGCAAGGAATTTCAATAAATATAGCTGGAGAAAAATCAAGCTGCCCTCTTTGATCAGTGTACAGTACTGGTAAGAGTATTTTTTTCCTCAGTATGAATTTCCAAAGGGGCAGGGAAAATTGAGATCAGAAAATTTTATATTTCATAACCAACGTTGGGAGTGGAGAGTCCTCTGATGGGGGACCGTGTTTGGTAGCTCGACTCCTGAGAGTTTCTGTGACTTCAGTCCTGCCCCACAACGAAGCACATGTGACACATGTGGTCTCACCTTAGGCAAGTGAGTTTGTTCAAAATTGCCTCTGTTCACCCAGCAGAAAATGGGTACCTGGTGTGATACAATGGTGGTCTGAATTTGAACCTTGAGCTCCTGACAGGCGACCAGTTGTATTCTTCACAGGGAGTGTTCTGTACTCGTTGACCAAAGGTAAAATGTCTGGCTAGAATGCATTATACTGGATACTTAGCAGGGTTCAGGTGAGGGGTTTGAGCATGCAATGTGCATGGATAAATGTGCAATATATATGAACTGTTATTATTATTTCTTATTGCAATTACAAATGGCAGAAGATGTGAAAGATACTAAAAGATATGGCCAGCCTAATATCTTATCTTCCTCGTTCCAGTTCTTTCAAACACTTCATAGACTGCAATAGTTTCAGGGTGATAAATATAAACATTAGACAGGTACTCAATGGTGTTTCTTAAATTTTAACATTTATGATCAACGTCTCAAATTATTTGCTTTCTAAGTGGATCCAGTTTCTTTGATCAAGTTTGGCTATTGAGATTACACTGACTCACTTTTTCATGACTGCAGTAATTTAATTTCTCCTAATGTT